AATTAAAAAGCAAAACCAGAATTTATATACTATTTTATTAAATATTTTCATGTTATTAAATCATAATTTGATCATAAATAACATGAATAACTAAACTTTTAGTAAACATTAACTGTTTTTACAATAAAGTTGTCTTATAAATATAAATGTCTTAATTTTTATTTAAAACAATGAAAATCTTATAATAAACTAGTTGTAAATAAATATTTTTAATAATTATATAAATTTACATTTGTGCCAATTTTCTGCTCATTTACATAATAATAATGAACTAAATCTGATTAAATTTAAAACTATATTAATATATCATTGATTTACAACAAAAACAAACAAAACTTCCTATGAATCTCCAAGCGATGCAAAATCATATGAAGAATGCAATGGTTTAATAATTTTCCAAATATTTTAGTCTCTAATCATATTTTGCTGTGAATTAATCGCAAATCCGTGTAATTATAAAGATTTCCAAAACAGATTTTGATCAGTTTTGTCCATTGCATTGACATTGTGCTAAACATCTTATATAGTATGTTATAAAATGTGGTCCAAATCAGTGACAATTTATGCTTAAAATGGTAAATTGCGGTCATTTTAAGTATAATCCTATTTTTATTGAACTTATATATTGAGATATTTATATTAAATATTGGCGTTATATTAACTAAAACAATATTCATAATTTATAATTAGCTGCGATTCTTAAATAACAATCAAAACTCATCCACTCTTATAAAAAAGCTAAAATATTATTTATATAATTTATATTAACAATAAATATAATGTATTTTGTTGTTCAGTATAACAAGCTTTCTGTTCAAAAACGTTTACTAAAAAATATTTATTTATAATTAAAAATGCTATTTAATATAAAAATTAGTAAATTCTAGTCTATATTTCAATTTCATAAAAAGGTTTTAAAATAGATTTCATTGAGTATTATCCAAGTGGGCGACGGCTTTGTAATAGTAATCCTAAGGCTATGGACGAGTCCTATGTTTTTCAAATTATGTAATTGAATGAATCCGTCTTCAAATAAACCGATGATGTGATAGCCATCTGACTTTCGACTAGAGTTTGCATTATTTGTATCAGTAATTTGTGGCAATATCTCAACAATGGTTTCGTCAGGCATTTTGTCGTTCGGGTGATCAAAGCTACCAGAATTGATGGTTATTTCGTCTAATAAAACATCTGTTGTAAAAGTAAACGATATATTATCGCCGCGTTTAGGATCCATAGCCCAAAAGTAATCCTCGCCTTTATATGCTTTGGATATCGTGTGATCTCTATATGTAGTCAATGAAGTCATCACTTCTGCCGATGGATTGTCTTTGTGCGAGAAATACGAGAAGTCTTTTGTCTTAAAGAACTTATCCTTTAGTTTCTGTACTTTTCCGTCGAGACTCGAGTGATAGCCTATGTGTTGGAAGAGTGATGTCTTATGTGTGCGCCAAAGGCTGTCCTTCCGTTTGCGACAGTCCTTCGCGTCCTTATCCTTACGACAGACTCTGGTTTGGATCAAATAGTCGAGCAGCCAGTCTGATGGCTGGTCTTCATGGAAAATGAGCATAAAAGTGATCAATTGTGGTAAATCGCGGCTTCGCAGAAGTTGTCCGATAAATCCCAACCGACAGTATCTCATTGTAAACCATTCTGTTTTGTTTGTCTTGAGATCATTGATGGACTGTTTGATGAGTCCTATATAGTCAGGACTGGAGACCACATCGTCTTCGAGCTGTAAATAATAATCTCCTTTTGTATACGAATATATCATAAGGTATGCGAAGTCTAAGTTCTGTTTAGTTCTCCAGTGAACGCGTTTCAAAGGGTCGCCTAAAGTCTGTTTTGTGTAGAGTTTGTCAAAGTCGGGGTAATAGGCGATGGGAGGGCTCATGACTGTCAACAGACCCGATGTGATGTAGTCGTCAAAGTGATGGACAATCATTTTGGTTGTGTTCAACACGTAATTCATATCAGTTTCGGCAATAAATACCACGATTACTGTGTCGTTAAGGTCTGAGGGTTTTATGTTTTTAATTAAAAAGTAAAGCGTTAACTGAAGGTATGAGCCCTTAGACCTTCGGATGTGAGGCACTCCTATCACTATCGATGCTATAATAAAACATTGAAAATACAAATTAATTTTTGCTAATTATTATAAAAAGGTAATAAAATAAGTGAATATAAAAATATAAGTGAAAGCAAATGGTCTGAAGGGGTATTGCATGCGATGATAGCGAACCTCTTTTATTGATGGGACGCCTGGAGAGGACATAGGCTGGCATTAGAGCCGACTCTTCATCGGTAATATAAGTTAAAAATTTGCTTAACGCTGGAAATTGTAATTTGTTGTCTGGGTTTGAGTCATTGGTTGCTCTTAATATATGGTCAGATGTGTTACGGACGGGCTGTTTGTGTTTGTCGAGTAAATGCATGAATTCGTTCAACTTTTCTGGACTCCATTCCCAAGTCTTATCGCGTTTTGCCGTTAATGAGGGTTTAATCAGAGATTTGGCCGACTCTTGGCTTTGAGTGAATATGAAAATGACAAACAGTGCGAACACAACTCCGACAATAATTTTGCGATTACGGTTCCGGGATATGAACCTCATATCAATGCTAAACTCACACCAATCATATACACCTCATATACACTGCCGTATATAAGGCGATGCCAGCGATGAGTTGTGCCGTTTGTATTGATTTCAATGCACTTCACATCCAGTGAAAAGGAAACTCCGGAATAGATGTAATGCCAATCAACCCCTCGGCTCGACACTACTTGCGCTTATTTGTGACACATTTCTCTCTATTTCTGTCATAAATACAACAAAAAACACACCAATTGTTTGTTAAATGTATTGATTAAAAGTGTAATAAAAATCGAAATAACATTAGAGACACAATAAACGAGTGAAATGTTAGCTCAAAAAAGTCATACTTCATTAGACTGTATGAATAGGAATTGTAAAAATCAATATTTGCACAAATTGTATGTAAAAAATTAGTTCAGAAAAAAAGTGTAGAAAATGTATTAAAATATGTGTTTATAAATTATAACGGATTAGAGATAGAGAATAAAGTGAGAAAACTGTTGGAAAATATATTTTCATTATGAAAGAAAATGGCAATTAGTTTGCACTCACATTGAATTTGCAAAACACCCAATAAATAAAATGTTATAACTATTTGTCTAATCTTATCGCCAGAATAGGTGTTGCCATTAGAGTAGAGAACTTAAATCACATATAATATGAATTCATAGATTCCTAACACCTGTTCCTTAGATTTGCCGTTTGATGTAACGCGAGGTTAACAATAGGCACTCATTTCGGACTCTAGTTATGCTATAATACAATCACACAATCGTTTAAATTAATTACTGTTCATATAATAGAGAGATATTGTGTTTCATAAATTTATTATCAATGAAAGCACTTCCCATTCAATTGAAATATTGTATAAATATTTCTATGCATTTTTAAAAAAGTCACGGAATAATTGACTTTTTTATTATAAATAAATGTAATTTTTGTCGGTTATGTTATTTATTATTCTGTGTTCACGACATTAATTTAATATGTAATTCACATTTAAAATAAAATTTTCTCATCTAATAGTGACGTAAATATTTAATCACAAAACTAAGAAACAAACGCTAGAATTGAATGCATTGTATTATTATTTCATTCATTTCATTATTTGATTTAATGTTTTACTTATGTTTTGCTTAATTCTCTGTCTTTGTACTGAATTTAAGGCAAACATAATAATAATAATAGGTTTTCAATGCAAACATTCATTTCCAACACGTTTTCTTAACACATATTTCACTTGTATTTGCCATGAATTACAGAATTTGTGTAAATATAGCAATAGATTTCTTCTCAGACAACAGCTCTCTTCCATGAAATGTCATTAATTTGTGAATTTAAAGCAAATATTGAGATGTTTGACACAACTATGCCATAAATAACCATCATTTTTAGATTCAGTTTAGAATATAAAACCAAATTTTGACATTAAATTTGATTTATAATTAGTTTATAACTTAAGAGATGTAGCGCTGAATGTAATGAAATATTTATTTAAACATATCTAAAGTATTATTAATAATATACAATATTTTGCAATTTATTTACATTAAAATAATATTTACAGAATATTTTTATGATGAAAAGGCATACATGTATTTAAATTTAATGCAGGCATTGAAGTTGTAGCGCACAATTTAATGACTATTAAAATAAATGTCACTCAATATCGCACTCATTAGCATTTAATAATTAAATGAAACATAATTTGAAAGTTAGACTTCAAAACGTATTTATAAAACTAATTTTACTCATAAGAAGCGATAATAATATGAAATAAAGTTATTTTCATTCATTGAAAGTCAATGGTTTGATAATAGTTTATCACATTTATGGTTTACATTATAAACAATATGATTAGTTTATTATCAATGAAATGTTTACCCGTATTATTGAGATGAAAAATATGACAAAGTTGTACCCAAACACTGGTCGGTACCGTAAAAGTATCGATCGGATATAATAACGGTTAGTAATGGCATAACATTATAACGATTACATAAATATATGCTGTGCTGTATATTTAATGAGACAACTACTGTATTCACTTGCGTTATAGAGTTTTTTTAAACAATATTTAAATTACTTTTAATTAATAGATTCTTTTCCTTAATAATTAATAATTCAATAAATTATGCATTTTTAGACATTTTTTGTCCAGAAATATACGAAATGGCATTGAAATGAGAAACAAAACAGTTATAATTCAAATTTTACACACAATATTAATGACGATAAATTCAGTGAACAAATTACTTGATAGAAAACACTTGCCTTTAAAATCTATACACAGAATATCTGTTATTTGTAAAGTATTGTTGAGTTTGGCGTCAAAGTTAAAGTTAAATCTCAGTTTTGCACAGATTTTTAAACAATACTTTTATTTTTTGAAAATCTGATGAGAAATCGCAGACAATTAGATGAATACTCTTGAACTAAAAGCCAAAAGTCATTAATAGATTATCAATTTATAAATTGGGTTAAATTTGTTGTTTTCACATCACTTATTGATTTAAATGTTCAAATACTTTAAGGCAACATATCATTGATAGCACTGTTTTCACGCATTTATTTTCACAGTATTTGTAGCGAAAAATTCTGACTTTATTTAGATTTTTAGTTTACATATAAATACAAAAAAGTGGAGAGGAATGAGAAAATAAATACACTTTTCATATGCGCTAACATTAGTTGTTTAGTGTCGATACGAGAGAACACATTAATATTTATGATATGAACCAAACAATTGGCTTAAATTGTATGCATAAAAGAGAGAAAAGCAATTATTTTCTGAGTTTATTACCACAAAAAGTAGTATAAAATTTAATATTTCTAAACACAAACATTTTCGCCATTTAGTAATATATCAGACGATTTAATTCAGTCTAAAAGTTGTTTTTTAATTTTATCAGAATTTAAGTGCATTTTATATCTGATATTAATATATATTAATGTATTTTCATTTTAACCTAAAAATTAAGATACATTTTCATTCATTGAAACCTTCGCTTTCGATCTGTTTTCCATTGCATTGAATATATAATTACACGGAATTTAATGTAAAATCAATATATTTTGATGAATACATTTGTAAAACAATTAACTAACAATTATCTAATTATGTGATCACTATTTTAATACAATATTCATTATACAGTACTGTTCACAGAAATCACTTACTATACGTCTTTTGTATGCCACTTACAAACACTTGTTTTATGGACAATAATACATAATTTTTGTTAACTTAAGTGTCAATTTATTTGTGTATAAAAATATATTAAAACATTAGTCTATAAAAACATGAAATACATGCAGTAATTTTGCGCTGAAACATAACATTTAACATTAAAATTATGTGACTTCTTATACACTAATGTCAGTTATAATTATTTATTAATATTAAATTAGTTGAGAAGTAAAACTTCTCCGCAAAAACAAATTATTTATAACTTATATTTTTTTCGTGCGAAGGCTTTGACTACGAATAGCAACACATTTTCCGATACAACTATTTTTAGGGGAAATAAATTGCGAAAAAGTTGAGGAATAAAATGTATATTACATTACATTCTTGTTATTAGTAAACGTTTAATAGAGAAAAAAGTTAATTAAATGTCGCAAAAAGCAATAAAAATATATTGTATTAAAAACAAAAGTATATTCTAATAAATTATATAATAATATTGAATTTAAAATCAATTTCAAAGCAAATACCAGTATTCGTGACATTCAGGACTCGTTCAGACGCTTAACTCATAGATTACATCATTTCTTCATTTAATTTCAATGAAATGATTGCATATTTGTTGCGAGAAATGAATAAAATTCATTCAATAAATGTATCAACAATTTTACTTTAAATTAACAAATGAACTACATTTTAAATCTAACTCCTAATACCAATGTCTGGAGTTACCAATCTTTTGTTTATGAAACCATTGTTATAGAGTCTGCAATATAGTGTAATGGTAACTAACAAACCATTTATAAAAATCATTTTCATTAGCATTTACTTTATTTTTCGGTTGAAAATATTTAAACAAACACATCATAAGTCAACAGACGTTTGTGAATAAAATATCGATTGATATACTAATCATTTAATTAAATTGCAAACATATTCAGTGGTTTTATAATTCAACAAACATTTACAACAGTCTTAAAAGTAATGAAATGTATTTATTATTATTATTATTAAACAAAAAGCAAAGATATTATAAAGAAATGGTTTGAGACATGCTTTGGAAATTATACGAAAAAACAATATTTTGATCAATAAAATTAAGGCTCGACTCGAAATAGAAATGGATTGAAAAATTACAAAAATATAAATGACATTATGTTTCAATTATTTATATCTATAATTAAAAAAATATTATGAAAAATGTTTGTGAAATAACTGTAAAAAAAAGTTTCAAATTCACTGCAATTAGTTCTCTAATATGAAACATAACGTAACGATTCAAACAAAAGTAATTAATAGTAGAAATGTTCAAATTTAATCAGTTTTAATCATATGTTAACTTATTTCGCACAGAGTCTGATCTGCGGCCGAGTCTTCACCATTTTGGGCGTCGATTTCTTGGGCTCATTCTGTGGTTCGGCCACCGCTTCAACCGTTTTGCCCACCGATGTGTCCAACGACTTGCGCGCCACAAACGGAACCGACTTCGGGAGTCGGATGCCATCGCACTCGCCATTCATTGAATCAGATTCTCGTGGACTAGTGTTATGAATGGGAATGAAATCGCCATTCAATTGGTCTTCAGACGCGGGCAGACTTCTCGTGTCGATACTTATATCCGACAAAGAGTTGCTCAGATCGTCGACAACTCTTCGCCCGGTTTCGCAACTGATATCCGAACTAACCATTGACTCCCAATTGGTGGCAATCACTC